ATGTAAATTTACCATAGTTGGTATTGATTGATGAACGAACAACATTACCCTTAGAGGCATATCTTGTATTATAAGAATGTTGCTCACTCACCAGATTAAGTATATTTTTGAATATATGAGGTACTTCAGATTTCTTATTTATAATTTGATGTGTAAGTAACGCTGATCTTAGTTTGAAAATGTTACTGAAGGGTAGTAACTCTAACAGATTGCAAAAGGGAGATGCATGTTCTCTCATACCACAAAAAAGCATGAGTACATTGAGTTGGCATCTCAGCTAAGGCGCGAGTGCCGTCAATGTATTGATTTGCAAATGAAATGAATTGCATCGCTATTGCGGGGGTGGTGGCCTCTATAACTCAGCCCCAGTCAGTGCCGAGGGGTCCCTGAATTTGTTTAGCCATGAGATCAGGTACGAGTATCTACGATGTTTGCTTGGTAAAACCTACCTCTGATCAATTCCTTTCAGTGTTTAATTTCAGTACAACACAATGTCTCAACATATTTTTGCGGCATTTAATAGTGATATTACTTCACAACAATATAGTGAACGATAATGGTAACATTTAGTTTTTGACGTTTATTCTATTCCTATTTTTTCAACTAACACAGCATGGATCAAACAAAGTGCTCAAAAATTCTCAAAGTGCTTGTTATAGTGCTTTACTAGACTTCGCATTCAATCAGTCTGGCTTATGTCTTGTCGGAAATGGATAGTTTACGACTGGGGTCTGGGCACCTCCTCTACAAAAAGACGACTGTTTGAATTCCATCCGGTATAGGCGTCAACATTTCCATACCCGGCACAGTTCCCGACATTGAATCCTACACGAACAGGTCCCTTGTGGATCTTGTCACAGTGACCTTCAATATGGCGGACACGGTGGATGTTGTGACCCACTCCTTTTCTCAAGTACAAGGTACCGTCAATAGCACGAGGGGTCTTGCATTCAACACCGTTGAACGTGAAGAACCAGCGCTTACAACAGTCGTTACAATTATTAATTCTAAAATCGCCATTCCAGTAAACATGAAGGATGGAATCAGTGAAATTCTTGTAGAAAAGACAATCCTGTATAAAGTTATTGAACGAAAAAGTTCATAGGAAAGTTTAAAGTGTATATCAAGGAAAGACATTATTTTCAAAATCATTTATATTTGAACAGTTGTAGTAGTATGGTCGCAATATTTTTGTATGTGCACTTCTATTTTCAAAGATATAAACATTTATAATATCAATATGCAAATGAGATGACATAAATTCAAGAATGGGTTACATTTTGCAATGTAATTTACGACAAGTTTCCTGAAGTGAAATAACCTAAAAGTGAGCAAAGACATATATTTCAGTCATAAGGACGATTTGCAAATGAAAAAAACAGCAGTACTTTCCACAAAAGCCGCGTTTTGGTATAATAAATTAGTCTTGAATTTGCGTCATCTCATTTGCACATTGATATTTCAGATGTTTTTATCTCCTAAAAGAAAATTTTACATACAAAAATACTGCAACCCTACTACAACACTATTCACATTATAAGTGATTTTGAAAGAACAGAAATTTCCTTGATATACACTTTAAAACGTTATCCTACATACCAATTGGGCTTCTTATCTGGGAACACAATGTCTCAAGGACACTGTATGCTCCTAGTAATGGCATTGGCTCATGATCTGGGAACCACTGCTTTACATACATAGTATAAGAGGTGGATGCTCCTTTTGAGTCAGTAGTAGTGTAGGGATGGCACGATCCGGATTTTCGGTGAGGATTTACTAATTTTGGCTATCAATAGATACMAATTGATAGCCAAGAAACTAAGCTATTGATAGCCAGGTTATCGATAGCCTGATAGCTAAGCTATTGATAGCCTGATAGCTAAGCTATCGATAGCCCAATAGCTAAGCTATCGATAGCCTGATAGCTAAGCTATTGATAGCCTGATAGCTAAGCTATTGATAGCCTGATAGCAGGAGGAGAGGAGGTAATCTTACATCGACCTCTCATCGACCTCTCATCGACTCTCAATCATAGAAAAAATAAGCAAATATAAAATTATTATCAAATCATTTATTAATTTTGGTATTTCGAATGGTCTTGGCCATGGGCTTCCTGTGTTTTTCAATAACTAAATTGGATATGAGCTTCCTGTAGATTTGTGCATTCATAAAATTGTTTTGATGCCGTGTCTTATTTATCACGTGACAAAAAATGATTGAAGGAAAGAGATATGACAGCATTAATAAGCTTGAATACCAAGGGAACTCAGAATCATTGTACTATGGTCCAGTATGAAATAAAACGATTGCTGTTTATATAATAAAGAACAAGATAACAGAACTAATCATTTTCAGCTGATTTTTGCATAATTAGGAAGAACTTAGTAGGTCTTATTGTATATCGTTTATGAGTCATTAATTGCATTGTGTTGGATACAATAGTCATCAAATTTTCATTAGTCCTTTGAATTCATTGACGGTAGCGTGATATCCTCGAGAGCCTAACTGGAATAACGTAGCCATTGCGTTTCTCAAAAGTAAATTTTTTAGGTTTTGCTTGCTTGCTTGGTTGGTTGAGTTTTGGAGTTAAAAATTCAAAATCCCCGCGCTCTATAAATTGGATTGGTAAACAAAAGACCTGTCCAAACTTGTCAAACAATAAACTCATGGCGTCAATTGGTCGTCATGACAACTTCACAATACCTACCCGTCATTTTATGTTAATAAGCAATAAAAATAATTAAATCCACCTTATATGATATACGTAATGCGTGCCGTATTAGAATATAATTGAATCCTCTGCAAATATACTCGCTGAATAAAGCTACCTGTGGCATCACAGATTAAAATCCTCTATTGAATTTCATTGTGTTTTGACACAATAGGAAGAGATATACTTTCATGGTAATGCGTGACGTATTAGAAAATGATTAAATCCTCACCGCTCCTCACCTATCCTCACCCAAAATTAGTAAATCCTCACTGAAAATCCGGATCGTGCCATCCTTAAACTACTACTTGAGTCGCATAAATACCAACACAAATATCAATCAAAAAACCTTTGAATCTAATTATGTGTTTTTAAACGTAAAAAGTGCTACATTAGAAAAAGGAAAAATATGGCAAGGGTTGTTAAATACTAGCATGTTTTGCTAAATTTACGAACGTACCCTGATCAGCCCATTGTCTTTTCCTTCGTTGATCTTGGTCCATGAACATTCTTTCCAGTTGGAATAGGCTGAAAGAATTCTTGCGCCAGGCTCGCACTTTTCTCCTTTTGGGCCCGCGTCACCCTTAAGACCCTGAGGACCAGTGTTACCGGGTGTACCAGGAGCTCCGGGAGGTCCTTGCTTACCTGGAGTCCCATCAAACCCTCGAGGACCTTGTTTACCTTGAGTACCTGGTCTGCCATCTCGTCCGTCTCGTCCAGGAGCACCGGGTGTACCGTGGAGACCAGGGATACCAGGACGACCCGCCAGACATGACGTTGACTAAAAGGTATGATGCTTATGCTTTGATTAGGCGTTAGAGACTGCTATGTGAGTGTGCTTTGTTTCTAAATACAAGCACGCGCTGAATATTGCACGAGGCGAAGCCGAGCTCGTTGCACAATCGGTAAGTGCTGTATTTATTAGCCATTCTGAGGATGAGGAGAAACCTCGGTCGAGTTTACATTACAGTGTCATTTTTTGGGCAATTTTGGGAATGAAATAGCCATCATCTTAAAAATATTTCACATAAAACTGCCCCAGAAGGCACTGCGCGCAATGCCAACACGACCCAGTTTTTTCTTCGAGCTCGGGTTTGCTAATTACTAGTCATCTTTAATGTATTTTTGAACATTTTATTTTCAAGAGCACTTTATAAACACTGTAAAAACCATGAGTATAACGCCGATGCTTTTTAAATAAGGTTTTTGTAGTGAAACCAGTTAGAATTATCATATTAAAGGTAGTTTGGCAGTCACACTTCCCTTCGATAGAATTTTTTTATAACTTTTTCTACTTAAAGACTAACATATATAAAAGTCAAAAATACAATTAAAAAAAAAGGGTCAATGTGCTCGTTTTGAAACTGTGGGGGGTGGTATTAGGCCAATTTTTGCCCTATTTGACCTAAAAAATGAACATTAAATTTCCAGAAAAAAAACTTTCGCGACAAATTGTATATGACTTTTATAAATTTGCTTTATGCTTCCAGCCAAATACTCTTCACGCTATACTGGGTTGAGCTATTTCACGGAGATTTGAAAGTGGTACACCATGAGTTTCTTGTATACATCGTCACTTCAGCTCAAAAAAAAGACTAATTTACCATGATGGTCAGGTCAGGTTTTCGAACTTGCTAGTGGTACCATGTAACACAGTACTACCTGCCACATGGACGGGTCGTCGGCGTCTAAACCGGCTCCCCCACTGACTATCCAGTGAGGAGGGTGGCTTGACACCCAGCAGGATTAAAAATAAGACCTGTCAAAGGGTGGAGGAACTCGTAGGAGACAACAGCCATCAAGCAAGCGTCTTCTTGGATAATGACGTAAAACCAGAGGTCCCGTCTGCTTGCACTTGACACCCGATAAAGTGGACGTAAAATATCCTTTTGTATTTTTCGTAAGAGTAAGGGATTGTTACCCGTTACAACAGTCTGACCTTTAGTCGTGGTTTCGTCGTGCGTGTGTGTTTATTTTACTTTCGTATCATTTATTCATCTATTTTTTCCCCTGTGATATGGGTTGTGTAGCGGCAGCCACAGGCGCCAAGCAAAGCTCACAGCCTACCACGGTTCGTGGTTTTTCTTTTTGTTTAAAGCGCCAAGAGCAGATTTGGATAGGCGCTATATAAATATTTATTATTATTTATTATTATTATTATTATTATTATTATTATTATTATTATTATTATGTTTTACTTTCGAAGACAATTAAATTTTTGATCAAAAGTTTAAAAGATTGTTTTATGCGCAATGTAAAAATTAAAAAAAGCTATAAACTAAAAACGTGCAAAAAAATTATGGTTTCGATGTTTTGGCCGCGCGAACATGGGCAATAACTGCTATTAAGGCCCATCAAAATCTTTTGAAAAGAATCGTTTTTTCTCGTGTTAGTAAAGTCATTATTATTTCTTTTGAATGCATGGTGATCCCTACTTTTCTAACAGAATTTTACAGCCTTTGAGAGGTTAAAGCAATTCGCATAGTCATTTTAAAATATTATAGATTCTCAATTAGCTACGTTTTTAACCTAATTTCACAATTATTTTAATTCATATATTTTACTAATTAGTACGTTTTGACTAAATTAAACAATGAGCCTCTCGCTCTCCAGGTCTTCAAGTCAACAAGCCAATCGTTCTGGCTTCAATTTTAATTGTTAATGACATCATCAGCTTACCTGTCCGGCTGGCTTGTTTTTCTGTCCACACGCCGGCTTGATGACTGGAGAAACGAACACAGCTAAGGACACGAGTAAAACGACCACGAGGAACCTCATTTCGGTACTGTGAATGAAAACTCATTAAATAGATTAAAAACATGTATGTCACAGAGTATCTCAAACATCTTTATGCTCATGATACTCAGCTTTATTTATATTTTCAACCTAATTGAATGTATGCTGAGTGAAAATGCGACAAGAAAAATGGGAACCACGTGTTAAAGCTATCAGGGTATGGATATTAATCGATAAATTGAAGCTTAGCGAAGACAAAATGAAATTCGTGCTGATAGGGAACCGTCAACAGCAATGATGAAAAGGTAAATTATACACCGTGAAAAGATGAGAAAACTTACTGACGTTTCGGACACTAGTCCTTCGTCGGAGTAAAAGAGAAAGAGGTGGTAGAAAGGAGTGAATATATGATAGAATAAGACAAAAGAAACCAATGAGAGCAAGGTGGGCAAGGAAACGAAAACAAGCAATCAAAAGACAAAAGAAAAGGTTAGTTGAAAGTAAAGCGTTCATTAATCCCGTTGGGACTAAGAGTGCCCAATAGGTGAATAAGCCGCATTTCTTTGGTCTTGCGACAATCATTGTTGCCGTTAATCAAAGACCGAAAACAATGAACTCAGAAAGAGAGTGGTTAGCTAGATTAAAATGGCGGGAAATTGGTTTGGTGGGATCGTTATTGCAAATATCATAAAGATGATTGCAAATGCGATCACCAAGACGGCGGCCAGTCTCGCCCACATACAAAAGATTACAGCGGGTACATTTAATACAATATACAACATTAGAAGTGGTACAAACAAAATGGTCAGTAATTTTAACAGTGGATTTAGGACCGACGACAGAAGTGTGAGAGGCTATGTGAGGACAAGTATAACAACGTTTACGAGAACAGCGAAAAGTACCAGRTTCTTTGTTAGAGGGAAGAACTCCCTTAACCAAGAAAGAACGAAGATTACGATCACGTTTATAAGAAAAAAGAGGGCGGTTGTTGAAAATAGCAGAAGTACGAGTATCAGAGTCAAGCAGAGAAAAGTTGCGGTTAACAATGGGTTTAATGGAA